CATCCAGGCCATGCCCATCCACCCTGGAGAGAATCGGGATTGAGCTGAGTCCTCTGGTATCTCATTGTCCTTTGCCCCCGAAAGGCTATGAGAGGGGCTGGACCCTGATCTTGTCAATTCCACATAAGGGACAGTGCAGGGGCTTGTGGGGTTTTCCTCTCTGTCAGAAGAGAGAACAGCATGGGAGAAAGCCTTGTGGTTCTTCTTCCTATTTGCCCCCTGACCTTCAGGACATGCAGCCAGGAGCTGTGGCAGTGCCACAAGGGGAGACACTGCCCATTGGGTTTCGAGGCAGGAATTCTTTCCCACCATTTCTCATGAAAGTTATGTTTTTCCTAATCCCAAATAGAGATATCAGTCAAGACATCGAGACAAAGGGAAAAGCATTAAAATTCTCTTTGGAGAATGAAATAGTCAACATGAAGAGGTTACTGGTTGGAAAGAATCCATTGGTCAGGTCAAAAGCGAAGTCAGGAAGCGCTCTCATGTGGAGTTGAAGGATAAGGTTGAGATTTTGGGAACCAGGACAGAAGCACAGGGGCAAGAACCAGCCACTACGGAACCAGTCTGGCTTGTGGCTGCAGCACATTGTAACTGCCTGCTCCCGGCCCTGCCTGTGCCAGGGTGAGTCATTCATGTGAATAAAATAAACATGAATGAGCTTATACACACAGGATACTTCACACAAATCCTATGAGTGGCGTTCTGAGGAATAAACAAAGCCCTTAAATTGGCGAGTTTGTGATTCTGTGTAGCGCTATTAAACTTGCTCAGGGATCTCAGCGTCCCATGACTTGAATCCCACTCGGCAATACTTGCTGGTACTTCTCAGTGTTTGAATATTCACCGTAGTCTATGGTTTTGTGGAGCAGATGAAATAGTTTCACCACTAAAAAAGTGACCTCGTGGGGCTGGAGAACAGTATTCCATGCAAATAGAAATCAAAAGAAAGCTGGAGTAGCAATACTCGTATCAGAAAAATAGGCTTTAAAATCAAGACTGTTACAAGAGACAAAGAAGGACACTGCATAACAATCGAGGGATCCATCCAAGAAGAAGATGTAACAATTGTAAATCTATATGCACCCAACACAGGAGCACCTAAACATATAAGGCAAATGTTAACAGATATAGAAGGAGACATTGACAGTAACACAATAATAGTCACCCCATTTACGTCAATGGATAGACCTTCCAGAAAGAAAATCAATAAGGAAACACAGGCCTTAAGTGACGCATTAGATCAGACGGACTTAATTGATATCCCTAGAGTGTTCCATCCAAAAACAGCAAAATACACATTCTTTTCAAGCGCACATGGAATATTCTCCAGGATAGATCACATGCTGGGCCACAAAGCAAGCCTCTGTAAATTTAAGAAAATTGAAATCATATCAAGCATCTTTTCCGACCACAATGCTATGAGATTAGAAATCAACCACAAGAAAAAACTGCAAAAAAAGTGACCTTGTGGACGAACCTTGAGGACATGATGCTAAGTGAAACATGCCTGCCACGAAAGGACAGATTCCACATACAGGAGGCCCCTAGAGGAGTCAAGTCCATAAAGACACGAAGTAGGACATGGGGGCCAGGGGGAGGGGGAGGAGGATGAGGAGTGAGAGTTTAATGGGGATAGAATTTCAGTCTAGGAAGACGAAAAAGTTCTGGAGATGGGGAGTGGGGATGGTTGTACAACAACGTGAATGTACTTAATGCCACTGAGCTATACACTTACAACTGGTTAAGATGGTAACTTTTATATTCTATATAAATAGAATATAAAATAGAATATAAATAGAATATAAATTTATATTTTATATATATATATATATATATATATATATATATATATATATTTTTACCATAATAAAAAAAAAAGCAACCTGTACTCTCCTATTGCCCAACTCGAAGAATGCTTTGGACTCCTAAAAATCTGACCAACATCATTGTCAAGTGAAAGAAGTTTTTCTACAACTGGCATATTTGTCATGAAACAAAGGCTCTAGACTATCCAGGGCAATTAATCTTTCTAATATCATATATTTGTGGAATTATCTTTACATTTTTAATAATTTATTTTTTTATCAAAGAATAGTTGATTTACAATGTTGTATTAGTTTCTGGTGTATAGCAAAGTAATTCAGATATACACAGAGAGACAGATAGATAGATACAGATATAGATATAGATTCTTTTTCAGATTCTTTTCCATTATAGGTTATTACAAGATATTGAGTATAGTTCTCTGTGCTATAGAGTAGGTCCTTGTTGTTTATTTATTTTATACAGAGTAGTGTGTATATGTTAATCCCAAACTCCTAATTTATTCCTCCCCTCCTTTCCCCTTTGGTAACCATAAATTTGTTTTCTAAGTCTGTGAGTCTCTTCCTGTTTTGTAAATAAGTTCATTTGTATCAATTTTTTTTTTAGATCCACATATAAGTGATATCATATGATATTTGTCT